ATGAATTGTCAGAATACAGCCGAAAATCACATCGGAAATATTTATACGACAAACGTGCCAGTTACATCGAATATTTATAGTGTAATCCCAGAACCTGGATTTATTAGTTTAACAATCGTCCGTCATACAATGGGGCGCGTTGTATTTTCGAAAGTACATTTTTACGATAAAAGTAGCAAACGAAATTCCAGTACGTGAAATAACAGTTTTATTTCGTGTTACGCGAGCCGGATGAAACGTGATGACGGAACGTAAAAGCAAATGCGAAATTGTAAATGCCACAAGGGATAGCGATTTCGCGTCAAGTTACCATCAAAAATCTCCGGGAAACGGACTCTGGAAAAGAACTTCAAAGAAGAAAAATAAAATGTGACTGAAAAAAAATGCTTTGGAAAAATGGTTGGGTTTTCGTATTTATCGTTTTCGTATCATTGCACATATCGGGGTATATAATCCATAGGGACGCACCGTATCGCAACTGTGTCACGCAACAAGACTAAGACCCATTACAGACACAGTTTATCCCTTCAACTTGCTCGCATTAAACCATAATAGGTATTGCGTCGCATACACGTGAACATTGTCCGCTTTGAAGTGCCTCTCGCATACGTTCCTGACATACGGATCAACTAGGACTATCTCACGCACCACCATATTGCCATGGTCGATGCATACGCATCTATACAACCCGAATATTGTAATATCGATTTATACACAACAATGCTCGCGACATCCAAACTGGGTCTTTAAAGTATAACGCGCTCGATTTAGTTTCTGAGACGTCAAACATTCGAGATATTAAAATAATTATTATTAAGCGCGTTATCATAGCGCGCGAATTAGAGAAGTATACGATAGAATACATATCTCTTTAGAAAAATGATTGCATACAGATCGACATTTTTACATGAAAACAAGATATCTACGTAAACATTTAAATATATGCATGAACCTGTTGCACTAAATCTTTGAGAGAAGACTTCGTAAACTGGCTGAACAGTGTCAAATATTTGTTAAAGAAACGGCATACACTCTTTTTTTCTAAGTGCACAGTCGCATTATGCAAACATATACATATATCACATTTTAGTACAGTGGATAAAACAAGATAATAACGCGACAATAAATTCTGATTATAATGCATACGATAACGTAAATTTTAGTTGGGAAGTGTTCCAATTTCAAGAGGATAAGAAATTTCTCAACGTCGCGGACAGAATGCAATAACGGGGTCGTAATACCGGACTAATTGATCGATTTTAATTTCGCACAACACTGATAAAGCGAGACTGCGCGCGGAGGCAACGCGAGGAGGCAAAACGCATCTCCTCCCGGTAAAGCCGGCGCGGCAGGTCTTAGCCGCGGAGATAGAAACAGGCAGCAAGCTTATCTCGGGACATTTTCCTCCATTTCGTTCTCTCTACTCGTTCGTCAGAGAAGTCATGGGAACGCTGGTAGTGAATACGGAATTCAACGGGAAGGAATCGATGTGACAACTATGCGTGCTAGTAGGATCTACCTGGGTATATAGCTTTCAGAGAATGGAGCGATGTGTGTGGGAGGCGGACAGCTGGTATGGAACCGATTGAAAGAAAATCGATAAGTCGGTCTTTCGTAGAAAATATCCGCTCGAATGCTCGTATACCTACCGTATAACTATCCAAATCCACCCTCTAAAATCTCCTCGAGCGAAAGTTACGGTCCCCGCTCTCGAAACGCGTGTCTTTAAATAAATTTGCCCGACCTCGCAAAAATCGGAGACTTTCATAAAATATATTTGATTACAGTGCTAAACGTCGCGAGCCAGTATCGGTGTCATTTACCACCGAGGATCATTGAATACGAATATACACTGGCAATGAGACAGATCGATTCCAGGAGCGCAAAGATAAATTGCTGAGCTTATTTGGGGCAAATTGTAAGAGCCACGCGCTACACCGACCCATAGATAACCGGTAGCGATATTCTGGACCCTGCAGCAGTTAACTCATTATGTGGGCGAGATGTATTATGTCTGCACGATATTCTAGATTTACGAGCTAAGCACTGAATGAAATATGCAAACGTATGCGTCGGAGATTACGCTGTTGAACTATTGCAAGTTTAGGAGAGATCAGCAATTTATAAATAGTTATCTTAAAGCTATGTAAGATATAACAAATTAAAATACATACAAAGTACATATCGAGACGTGTTGCGTACTGTGCTTATAAAAATGCATACATCGCCGTTAAAGGCGAATGGATATTAAGAGCTCAATTGGATAATTTGCTAAGTATATATAAATGCCGCGTGAAATACAGTTTTTGAGAACTCAAACGGACTCGCGATACAATACCGTGATGCATCGCATATGCATTCTGAGCTGCATAAATCTACACTGATTAGAAAGACTAAAACGCCGTAGGAGCTGAGAGAATACCGACTCGACAACTTCGCCAGGCAATTCCAAGATGGTGTGAGTTAACGCCACTTAAAGCAGCTCTACCAGCATATAGCCGGGGATGAGCCTGGCAATCTAATCTATGCAGGTAAAATGTGCGGATGGTAGCGTGTTCCGTATGTTTCGTGCTCGTAATTAAAGTCCGGCAGGCAATGGCAATACACTCTACGGTATAGGCGGTCTTGATAATCTGCTTGTTGTAAAAAATATTCGTGAATGTCCACGAAAGCACGATAAACTCTCCGATACACCGACTGTTCGCGACTGTTTTTTTTTCCTGTTTTCTCTCATCTCACAAAGAGTTATGTACAAAATACAACAGAACACATACAAAATGTGTAAAATCCAAGTTTGCTTCTAAATAATTCTTAATAATAATTTGTTGTATTCAGTTACACCTTATACCTACATTTTTAATTACTTGCTTATCTTATTTAAAGTACAGGCAGTATAAAAAGATGTAGATGATATTTAGTTACATATTTATGGAACCAAATTAAACAAGCCGTATACTTAACTTTAAAAATCGATTAAAATGCACATGTTACGCTATAGAAAGGATCAATGTCGCGTGTTAAGCCATTTCAAGTCTAAAAGGTAGACACGTTAATCACGGTAATCTATGGTCAAAGGAAAAAATTTACTCTCTAAGTCGCAAGTAGAACCGGCCGCTAACGAACGATTAGCAGCGTGATAAGCCTCGTCCACTAAAAAGCTCAACTGAGATCGATATGATTTATTAATACTTGCAGGTTTAGAGCATTAGTTTCTTCTCAACTAATAATAGTAAGTAAACTTTTTTACTCAATTATTCTACTCTATTCTTAAAAAAAATCTTAATATAATCAAGTAACTTTAAAATAATATTAAAATAATATTAGAAACTAATAATAATAATTTTTTGTGAATTAAAGAAATAACATTTTACAGTTTGTAGTTTATTGTGAATTTGATTCCAAACTGATATACTTAGATACTTATTTAAAATTAATAATTCAACGCATATACTATAAAAAATAATGCGAAAAGATACTCCTAAATTCTTCATCTTCATAAAAGACAAATGCAGAAAGCAAATCACCTAGTTATATGCGCCGTAGTAGAATAAGATGCGTCTGGCAAACGCTGAAATGCTAATGTAGAACGAACAATACCCAATGGAGAGAGAACATTTCGGGAGGTTTAAAATAATAATTAGCCGCCTTTCAAATAATATTCTTCTTCGACTTCAAATTGCATCTATTCACGCAGAATTTAAGAATTTGTAATAGCAGAAGTTTTAAATTAATTAATTTTTTGTTCAAAAACGTACGAGTATTGTAAATTATCAATCTAATTTTAATGACTTCGTTATACAATTAAATCTCGACGTATATATTTCATGTTAAAATATATCTGCATAGTATATATAACTCAGTAGTAAAGTTTTGAATATCAAAAGATCAATATACAATTAAATAACATCGCGAATTATGAAAAGTTTGCAGTTAAAATCGTGTTAATGCCGTCGTGAATTGTGCTGGTATGCGGAGCACGATGATAAATCGGTGTATGACAATTAATTTCAAAACGATTTGCGGACCAAATTCATACATCGATCGGCAGATACTGCAATTTATTGCAGTCTTCGGATGAGCAATCAAAGCCGATAATTAAACTTCTAAACTTCGCCCGACTGCGGAAAGTGCCACGCAGACGGGATTGCTTCTCCAGTATCAATTATGATGACAGAAACTCATTAAATCCATTAGATCACAATGCACTTATCGAACACTTCTCGTGAAAATACTTTCATTATTTATTTCGAAAAATCTGCGTTTAATTGGATTTATGACGAATCAAATTAATCCTTTAAAAATTGAAAATAATGCTCAAATTAAGAAACAATATTGTAAAAAATAATATTAAATACATTTTTAAACTAATACTCGTATAGTAATTGAAATTCATTCACTTAAAATCTTCTCGAATGAAAGTTACGAGATTCCATTTTAACAAACTAATACATGCGCATACCTAGATCCTATACATAAATGTTTACAATCCTCGTTGTATTCTTTCGTATAATAAACGTTTTTTAATAATAAATTTAAAAAATTCGCTGTAAATTTGTCTCCAAGGAAGCAGCTTATTTAAACTCGATAGTTTTGCTGCCAATTCATATTTTAATAATCAAAGTATGATACGCGATTCTATACAGTGAGTTATAATCGAAGAAGATAAAAATGTTGAATGTGTCTAAAGGTAGCATATGTATCTTTATGGTTAAAGAAAATAAAAATTTATAATTAAACGATACGTTAAAGCAAATTAAAAAGAAACAATACGTTAAAGCAAATAAAAATTTCTCAAATCTATAAGACATTACAAAATAATTTTAAGATTAAAATATACTAATGTACCCTTAAAAAATATTTTTACGCGTTAAATATATTAGAAAATCATTATATCATGAGATTGTCGCTGTGTTCGTCGTTAGACACATAACGACGTAGACTTTACGTGTCGTTGCAATTGTTATGCGATCCTAAGAAATACACAATCATAAAATACTTACCCTTGCCATGCAACTGCTGTCGATTCGTGTCGGCGCGTAAGTTCTCGGCCGTGTGAACCAACTCGTCCAATTGCGGTTTCTTTTGCTCCAGCTCCCGTAAGACGTTCTGCAATATAAATCAAAACGGTATGGTTGTTATCACGAGGTTTCTAGTTCGGTTAATAACCGCCGTGGTAAGATACAGCAACTAATGCGAAACCGTGGCACTTGCATCAGGCGAGCGCTCGCCGCATGCAACGGTGACGCAGCGCATAGCCCGTAATCGATGGCAGCGTCGAAACTGCTGCAAATTGCAACCTAATGGCTGGAAGTCAGATCGCTCGGACACACGCACATTCTTCGTCTAAAAGTTCAACGTGTCGGTCGAAAGCACGCGCAAGAGATACCGGGCGTTCAGATACTTTTCACTCAAACTTCGTATTTCCTGCAAATCGAGTCAATTTCCCGGTTCACGATACGTTGAGGCAAGTTAGAGCGTAATCAATTTACGTATATTGCGCGATCCATGCACATGCACCAACGCACAGTGCAATTTTTACACGATAAACGCGACACAAGAATTTTTGGAAACGTTTACCTGAGAAAATATTAGCTAACGAAAGACTAAAACTTTAATGCAACAGAAAACGTTTATAAATTCTTATAAATTCTTCAAGGAAAATCTTAATTTTTTACGACAATTCTATATTCCTATAAAATACCAATATATAAAAAATTCTATCAAGTATCATCTGCAGCTCTTTCTGTTGCGAAGAGCACCGGAGTAACGGAAATCGAAAGAGTAAGCTCTTAAAGAGAGGTAATATCTTCACGTAATATATTCCACGAAACATTCAGGTCGATCACCTGTTTTTGCCGTGCTACTGTAGCTACCTTTTGCCGCACGAACCTATCGATCGCTTGTAGGCTTTCGACGTACCGAACTCTATTCTCTGAGCGGTTCGTTGTAGCAACCACTACACGACCTTTTAGGATATATAGATCATTAACCTGCAAGGCTAATTAACACGTAATCTCGTCTTAAAATTAGACGTTAGTCATTGAGGAGATACTTGAAAGTACATTGTAGCAAAACTGTGCAAAATTATTAATCTTATAATGGAGCATAAAACATATAAAACTAGAATCCTGCAATGTACATAAAGTATTCAAAATTAATCAATGTGTTTAAACAAATTACTTATCAAAAGTTTTATTAAATCTTTTAATTAAAAATCTTCAGAATTTCTCTATATCTAATAAAACACGATAATATCAAGACGAGAAAATGTTTACGGACTCTGTCGGTTTCGTAAGAAGATTACGATAATTGTTAAGTCTCACTAATCCGCGTTACTCTGGATAAAAGGGTACCGAATGACTGTCTTCCCGCACAAGTGCTTCAAGTCTTAATCCGATTCTCGCACTTGATTGCCGATAGAATTAATTTTCGCGATATTCGCCAAGCATGAAACGTTCACTAAATCCGATCATTGTTACGTTTCCTTTCTAAAATCGCCCCCTAAAAAAACTAAGTCTCGACGAACAAAGAATTTCGTAGAATATTAATACATACTTCTACTTATATGTACCTATGTATAAATCCAATAATCAATTCTTTCATTCATAACATTAAGAAACGCATCTTTAATCGACAATTAATGTACCGAGTATAGGCTAAGAATTCCTGAAGGTTTTATCTCATTCCTGGTAGATTTATTTAATTTTACTAAAGCCTAGAGATCTTCTCGGATCTGTCGCGCGCATATATAATATATAATATAACCGCACTCTGTGTGTGTGTGTGTGTGTAAATGTACAAATTAGTTGGTTCCCGGAAAACTGCGAGATTACCTTGTTAATCTGACTAATTCACTTTGTCCGTTAACATTATAATCATACGTCTAACTTTGGTATTAAATATAAATCTTTTCCAACGTGCAAATAAATACCATCTTTTAACAGATGAGAGAATATTACGGATTGTTATTTTTCTAATATTATTTTATTTTAAGAGACGGTTAGATCCTTTCTTATTTTGGCAAATGCAATTGACAGAAAATACAAAATGTTGTAATAATGATAATCATCACGGACTATAACGGACGTAACGTCATCTATATTCAAATGCCGAATTAATATTCGATAACATAGTAAAGAGAATCGTTAATCCACTTAGCGCGGTACTTTTACTTCCGCTTCCTATGTAAAGTAGAGTTATTTACATCCCTCTGACATAATCGATCGTGCGTTACTTCCGTGTCACCAACCGCTCGAAAAGCTGAATATACACTCGCTTTCCAAAAAGTTCCAGTCACGTTAATAGGAGATAGGGTATGCATACAGTTTCTCTGTATACCTTCGTAAAACATTGAAAAACTTAAAAGTTTAGAATAATAAGGTTTGTTGAAGCAGTTGTATGTTACGTACAAATACGGCAACAGATCAAATAAATCTATGAACAAGAAAACTCATATCTTACGCGATAACTTGTAAATGGAGCTTTCTGTTTGGCTTCCTCTTATATTCTTCGCTCAATCATTTATATAATTTTTCTTCGCATTTATATATCATTCCTATAGTCAAAGAATGAAAGAGAATGCCAGTCAGATCGAAGGGTGACCGTAGGACATAGATAGGGCACGTTAACCGAGCACTCCACTCGAATCCATTCAAATAGCAGGAGCCAATGGCCTGACACATTTCCATTCCCCAGTAGTAACCAATGGAAATCCCGTAGGATTGAATTCGATGAAACAGAAGCCACGAGAATTTCATCGGATATCCGGTATCCCGACCATTGTGAACGTTATCGTTTGCCTTGGAAAGAATAAAGCCAGAAGTATAAGCCCTAAAACTTTTCGCGCTTTCTCCAAACGCAAGAAATCATTCGTAGGCTCGCATCAATCTCAAAATCTTGCGGTAAAATTAAATTTAGCAAGTTGATTATATTAAATCGTAACGTACCATGATATAACGGTACGTCTCAGCATGCGAAGTACTGAATAACGTACTAAGCTGTGTTATTGCTTCTTAATAGTGTAAGCTGTTGATCCTCATCTGCATATATTAACGTACAAATTCGTGGCAATTCTGATAGAGGACCGACATGAAAGCTGCATGTGGTAGACAAGCATTATTGTTTCTGATACGGATAAATTATAATTTATACTGTATTTGTTTCACCATAAGAGCAAGACATCACCGTAAGATCGCTGATGGATACATGCACATCTTTAAATTGAAGATTTAATCATCTAGTAATAATATCATTCAAGAATAAAATATTTAAATAATAATCAAACAAATATTATTTTATGTTATTATTTAATTTTTTCTTATCCACTTTCAATAATTAATTTTTTATACAAAAATCTTAAATTTACTTTTAAAAATAATGGAAAATATAATTCTTGAAATATATCGTAAGAAAACTCATTATATTTGTGTGCTTTTATGATATCTCTACAAAGTCTACTAAAATAATTTGTCCTCGACATTCTGCCAAATTCGCAATGAATTTATTGCTATATATTAACTACCATCGAATTAAGCGACATTAGACAACTCTGCTAATTTCCCTTTAACGACACTTTCCTTCATCTCCCATCGGGCATGTTAAACTTCATATACCGGCAATTAAGTTTTAATCTTCGCGGAATGACTTCGATATAACCTGTCAGAAAGCTCGTGAACAATATGAAATGCGAGTTTAACTCGACAAATACAATTCACGAAATAAAGCACGTACGTGAATGAGTCTTGCGTAATTACAAAACATGAAATACAAGTACATTAATTTAATGTACTAGAAACATTTTAAATACAGAGAACTACATATTTCTCAAAGCATAATGGAGCTTTAATAATACGTACGCAGATAACTTGCTCGAGCACGTTAGAATTCGTCAATGAGTAAAAAGCAAACGCAAAAGTTACGTAGTAAAAAAAATAACATTCTAAAAAAATACAAAAAATGCAAGATGAAATAAAAATAATAAGTAGAATAACAATTAAATTAATATCGAAAAAGGAGAAAGAAGAAATGGCATATAAATTAATAAATGTATATGGACATGTTAATGCATAAATATTATAATATTATACCAAATTTGTTAACATATTCCACATTTTAATTTTTTAATAACATTACTATCATAATGCTATTATATGTTATATACTATTTTATGTTACAAACGGCGGAAATAAGATACCAATCTATTTCTTATAACACTAGACACCATAGACGCGCGCCTCCCGCGCGCTATTTAGCTTTAACATTATGCTATTACTATTACACTATTAACTCCTTCATACACACAACTGTCAAAATATACGATGACAGCAGCTGCAAATGAAGTAAGAGCAGCGAGAGAACCAATCGGCATCGCGGAAAAGCGGCAACAATAAACTTCGATAGATTCGAGCATCGACTTTACATCTCTTTTTTAGATATGGAGGAGATATCAGCACATTTATTTTTCATTTTTGCTTTATAATCTTCTTTGGCATTATAATCTTTTTCCTTGTTGTCTTCATTATATCATGATGGTATAGGTATGCCATTTTTGCTTTTGCATATTACAAATTACAAAATATCCTAAAAAATTAGTGGCTATTATTAAACCTTGGAGCTTAGAAGAATAATGGCCTGTGAAATACCTCGCATAAATATACGCTTCTCGTATACAAAGATAAGAGGGGCGTATTTCTCAAAGGAGTGAGCCCCGTTCACCACGATCAAACCACGAGTAAACGGCTCGTCTAAGAAAATTGGACACGAACAAAACTTTTGACGTCTCATTTAGCGCAATCTGTCGAAACGTTCTCGCGGAAAGCAATTTACCGGGAGTAAATAGAAAATTCGATGTAAAACTTTGCGTCCCCAAACGTTCCAATAATGTCCGTAAATGTCTCCAAATCGCTATCACAACGACTAAAAATTCCGACAAAATTATGTTCATTACTCGTATTGCGAGTGAATTATGCGGCTGTCGGCGGCAACAAGTCCGCAATAAAATTTACGTAAAACATAACATAGACATTGTATCACGCCACAAATAAACTTTACAAGACTCTCAATAATGGAAAATACAGTCTCTCTTTTCACGCACGCAAATTTTCACG